ATAAGGGAGGGTGCAAACCATCCATCAAACAGTTAACAAGGTGTCTGCCAAATAGGGGGTCTGATTAAGAGTATCCTAACGACTCTCAGCCTATCCGAAGGCTGTCAAAAAAATTTCCACTGATTCCACTTTAACCTTATCAGTGATTCCCACCAACGGTTAGCACATTCACATCTGAGACAAATCCAGTAAGATTTTGGAGACAGCGACTTGAGGGGTCTGTTTGAAACATGACTTAGGCTCACTCTCATCATAACCCTGGTAAGGTGGTGGGTTGTATGAGGTACTAGGGGCTATAGCTGTAGAGCTGGATCCTATGGCGCCAAAGGTACCCCATTCCTAGTGGTTTCTCTACAACCACATTTAGTAAAATCTACTGCAGTATCAAGCCATTTCTGGGTGACTTCAACTAAATTGTCATCCTTTATGTGGATCCAGGTAGCCTTCAGAAGGCTGTAGCGGTAACTCCGGGTAGCAGAGGGGTTTCGACACCTTTTCACGATCAATGAGGAGGATTCTCAGCATCCAGTAGTGATCTAAGCGAAGAAGCTCTTGCAAGAGCTAGTGTGATAGCTGTATAGCAGTTACCCCTAATAAGAGACAAAACTCTAGATTGAGGGTGAAGAAGAACTGAAGTTTAATGGCAGATACTCTCCTTTTATGCAGTCTTCCTATGCAAACCCACAGACAATTATACATTGACCAATCAAACAATGGTTACAACCCACATATTCCCTCCCCTCTGCTTGGGAGATAATCAAGTTACTTACTGTATCTACTCAATTATCTCCAAGCTGAAAAATCATACTTTTTATACATTTTCATAATTTCTTGATTTTACATTGTATACAAATAAAACTTATATTTTTATAATCAGTATAGAGGTAGAGGTTAACACAGTAAAGGAGTTTAAGCATGCGTGGGATAGGCATAAGACTATCCTAACTATAAGATAAGACTAGGGACTAATGAAAGTATTTAGAAAATTGGGCAGACTAGATGGGCCGAATGGTTCTTATCTGCCGTCACATTCTATGTTTCTATGTTTCTATGTTTCTTTAACATGGGGAACAACATATGTCAAAATCAAATTAATCCGTGCAGGGGTTCGGGAGATAGATAAGAGTCTCTTTGGACCGACCGCACGCCTATTTGTATGCCCAAAACAGTTCCACAGATTCAAGCTGAGCGGTCGGTCTATTTTCCCATTCGGATAAAATTCAAATTGCACGAACGCCCTGCAGAGCTCAGTCTGCGCGGAGCCCTCCATGGGTGAAGATGGATTATTTTTTTGCGCTCTGGTTTTTTCTTTTTCGTCTGGTTTTTTTTTTTGCGCTCGGGATTTTTATTTTATTTTCAATTCAACGGTTATGATGGTTTTTTTATTTGGCCTTTTTTGGGGCTGAAAAATGAAGATTTGAGAAAAAAGAAGACGTTGAATGGTAAGTTTACTCTTATTTTACAGGTTCGTTATTTTATTCCCCCCTCACTATTTTTTAGGGTGAGGGGGGTAGGTAGGGACTTTTTATTTGGGGGGGTGACTAGGGGCTTGGGGACCCCTAGTCACCTTGGGGGGGGAAAATTTACTTAGGGCCCCCACCCGCAGCCCAGGGGTGGGGGCCGGGGGGGGAGGACAGTAGGTCCCCCCCCTCATTATCTTTTTGGCCCCCACCCGCTGCCCAGGGGTGGGGACCGGGGGGGGCAGTAGGTCCCCCCCCATTATCAATTTGGCCCCCACCCGCCGCACAGGGGTGGGGGCCGGGGGGGGCAGTAGGTACCCACCCTCATTATCAATATGGCCCCCACCCGCCACGCAGGGGTGGGGGCCGGGGGGGGCAGTAGGTCCCCCCCTCATTATCAATATGGCCCCCACCCGCCGTGCAGGGGTGGGGGCTGGGGGGACAATAGGTCTCCCCCTTATTGTTCATTTTAGGGCCCCCACCCACCGCTCAGGGGTGGGGGCCGGGGGGGACAATAGATCCCCCCTTATTGTTCATTTTAGGGCCCCCACCCACCGCTCAGGGGTGGGGGCCGGGGGGTACAATAGGTCCCCCCCTTATTGGTATTTTTAGGGCCCCCACCCACCGCTTAGGGGTAGGGGCCGGGGGGAGGACAATAGGTCCCCCCCCTACTAGTATTTAGGGCCCCCACCGGGGGGGACCCTTTTTTTTTTAAAACAGTGAGCAGCCACAGGCATTGCGAGTAGGGGCACAATTTACTAATACTAAGTAATTTTTACTTAGTATTAGTAAATTAATAGGGGACGGACCGAACATCGCATATGTTCGCCGTCGGTGGCGAACGCGAACACGCTATGTTCAGCCTCCAGCACAAATTTGGTGTTTTACTATACTACACTATTATTTGTTTGTGTGTTTCTATATTACTATATAATAAGCATAACTTGGACCCCACAGACATATTATTTAGTAAACTACTTTTACAAGACATTCCACTAGAACATAGTATGTCCCTTTAAATGTGTTCTTGGGAAATTAAAATTTTTAAGTCCAAAACTTACACGGACACAGAATAAGCACTGCTCTGAGAGTGAAGGTAATAGGTAGAAAAATAGACACCTTTTCTTACCTTGCTGCAGCAACTCATTCACAGTCAGAGAGGCACAGATTCTCCAGTTCTCGATAAGTGAGCCGTTATTCCCGAGTTTCGGCACCAAATTGTGATGGAAAGATTCACATATTATGTCCTGGCAGAATCCAAATTGTATCAAGCACTTGGAGAAGCAATAAGACGCACAACATGTGATAGTTGTGAATCCAGAATAATTGCTTCTAGCTTTAATTGGGGACAATTAGTTTAATACAGTAGATCCGTACTTGCGTTCAAAGAAAGGAATGTAAGAAGAGACATATTTCTAAATGTCAAAAGATAAGCAGTTTACAGAAGTACTCTGATGGGGGCTTTATAAGGTAAGAATGAGAACTTAATGTAGGACAAACTTCATTTACACATAAAGCATTACATGAGTCCACGTTAGCCAATTTTAATATAGGCTGCCATTTATGGCACCTGCAAGCTTGAGCCTTGCATTCCGTCAAGGTGCATTCCGTCACACTAGTATAGGAACATACTGGAACCTTTATATCACTAGTATAGGAGAGTACTAGAACCTTCATTTCACTAGTATAGAAGATTACTGGAACCTTTATATCACTAGTATGGGAGAGTACTAGAACCTTCATGTCACTAGTATAGGAGAGTACTGGAACCTTTATATCACTAGTATAGGAAAATATTGAAACTTTTATATTACTAGTATAGGAGAGTATCAGAACATTTATATTACTAGTATAGGAACATACTGCAACCAGTATATCACTAATATAGGAAAGTACTGGAACCTTTATATCACTAGTGTAGAGAGTACCAGAACCTCTATATTACAAGTATAGGAGAGTCCTGGAACCTTTATATCACTGGTATAGAAGAGTACTGGAACCCTTATATTACTAGTATAGGAGAGTACCAAAACAATTAAATCACTAGTATATTAAAGTATTGGAAACTTTATATCACTAGTATAGGAAAGTACCAGAACCTTTATATCACTAGTATAGGATAGTACAGGAACCTATATATCTCTAGAATAGGAAAGTACCAGAACCGTTGTATTACTAGTATGGGAAAATACCAGAACCTTTATATCATTAGTATAGGAGAATACTGGAACATTTATATCACTGGAATAGGAAATTACTTGAACCTTTACATCACTAGTATAGGAGAGTACTGGAACCTTTATATCTCTAGAATAGGAGAGTACCGGAACCTTTGTATTACTAGTATGGGAAAATACCAGAACCTTTATATCATTAGTATAGGAAATTACTTGAACCTTCATATCACTAGTATAGAAGAGTACCTTAACTTTGACATCACTAGTATAGGAGAGTACTAGAACCTTTACATCAATGGTATAGGAGAGAACCTGAACCTGTCAATAACTAGTATAGGAGAATACCCTAACCTTTCTATCACTAGTATAGAAGAGTACCCAAACCTTTCTATCACTAGTATAGGAACATACTGGAAACTTTATATCACTAGTATAGGAGAGTACCATAACCTTTATATCACTAGTATATGAGAGTACTAGAACCTTAATATCACTTTTATAGGAGAGTACACAAACATTTACATCCCAAGTATAGGAGAGTACCGGAACCTTTATATCCCTAGTATAGGAGAGCACGGGAACCTTTATATCACTAGTATAGGAGAGTACTGGAACCTTTATATCACTACTGTTGGTGAGAACCGTAACCTTTATATCACTAGTATAGGAAATTACTAGAACCTTTATATCACGAGTATAGGAGAGTACTGGAACCTTCATATCACTAGTATAGGAGAGTACCAGAACCTAGTATAGGAGAGTACCAGAACCGTTATATTACTAGTAAATGAGAGTACCAGAACCTTTATATCACTAGAATGGGAAAGTAAGAGAACCTTTATATCACTAGTATAGGAGACTGGAACCTTTATATCACTAGTATAGGAAAGTTTCAGAACATTTATATTACTAGTATAGGAAAGTACCAGATCCTTCATATCGCTAGTGTAAGAAAGTACTAGAACTATTGTATCCAGGAGACATGGGCGTCCGGGGGGGGGGCAGTGGGGAGGCAGAGACAGCCTACAGATCAGGTAAGTGAGGCATAGGAGGGGCAGAGATAGCCTACAGATCAGGTAAGTGAGGCATAGAGAGCAGAGATAGCCTACAGATCAGGTAAGTGAGGCATGGGGGGCAGAGATAGCCTACAGATCAGGTAAGTGAGGCATTGGGGGGGGCAGAGATTGCCTATAGAGGCATAGGGTGGAGACAGCTTACAGGAAGGGTCAGCAAGGAGAAGGAATAGAAATGAGCAGCAAGGAGCACAACAAGTAAAGAAGGAGAAGGAGCACAAAGGAGAAGGAATAGAAATGAGCAACAAGGAGCACAAGTAAAGTAGGAGAAGGAACACAAAGTAACATAAATGAGCAGGAAGGGGAAGCAAGGAGCAGAAAGGGTCTGCAAGGAGAAGGAAGGGTCAGCAAGGAGCTGGGAGGTAAAGCAGCACAAAGGTAAAGTAGAAGGAGCAGAAAGGGTCAGCAAGGAGCTGAAAATGGCAGCAAGGCGCAGAAAGGGTCAGAAGGAGCACAAAGGAACAGAAATGAGCAGGAAGGGGCAGCAAGGAGCAGAAAGCGTCTGCAAGGAGAAGGAAGGGTCAGCAAGGAGCTGGAAGGTAAAGCAGCACAAAGGTAAAATAGAAGGAGCAGAAAGGGTCAGCAAGGAGCTGAAAATGGCAGCAAGGAGCAGAAAGGGTCAGAAGGCGCACACATTTAAAGCAGGAAAAGGAACAGAAATGAGCAGGAAGGGTCTGCAAGGAGCAGGAATGGGCAGCAAGGAGCAGGAAGGGTCTGCAAGGGGCAGCAAGGAGTAGGAATGGTCTGCATAGAGCAGAAAGGGACAGAAGGAGGACAAAGGTAAAGGAGCAGAAAGCATCATAAGGAGCACAAAGGTAAAGTAGGAGAAGGAGGAGAAAATGGTTGCAATGAGCAGAAAGGGACAGCAAGGAGCACAAAGGTAAAGTAGGAGAAGGAGCAGAAAGGGATCAGAAAGAGAAAGGAGCAGAAGGCGGAGCAAAAAATGCAGAAAGTAGCAGAAAGGTAACGGAGCAGAAAGAGCCAAGGAGGCCACATACATTTGCACTGTCAGGTACAGTGATATAATATGACCCTCTGTAGGGTACAATAATATAATATAATATGCCCTTTGTAGGGTACAGTAACACAATATGCCCTTTATAGGGTACAGTGATATCGTTGATCTTGTTATAGGTACAGTATATGTTTTGTATAACGACTGTGATATTGTATGGCTTCACAATAATACATAGATTGTGTGCCTGCTCAACATATAATCATCCAGTGTAAGGCACCATGAGAGATATATCCATGAGAATAAAAAATAATAATTGTATCAATAAATGAATCTGCCCAGAGAGGGGGACCCCTGAAGGGGTTAATCCAGATGCAGGGCGCGGTGATCGGGTGATTCCTGTAGGGTATAGTGATATAGTATGACCCTGTGCAGGGTATAGTAATATGGTATGACCCTGTATAGGGTATAGACCCTGAGTAAGGTACAAAGACATAATCTCCTTTGTAACGGATCGCCTGGCACCCCGACTGGGTACCTCCATTGAAGGATGCTCCTAGCGCTTCCTGAGGACTCCAAGCACTGCAGCAGACACCAAAACCACTGAACCGGAGAAACAAATAAATTCTCCCAAGCATATGAATGCTGTAGACAGTTGAATAGGAACCATACGAATAGGTTTACTCTCCTAGCAGTCAAACTGGAACAGCATACAATAAATCCTTCCCCAATAATGAGACGACACTTCACTTTGAGGGTTAAAACAGGAACTCCCTGTACTGTCACATACAGTCTCTTTTATTCCCAATCCACAAACATAGTACAGCCCACAGGGCGTTACAAAACAGCCAATCAATCCATAGAATACACCCAGACACTCCCACACAAAATCCTCCCCTCTGGCTGTGATATGATTACTGAACACAATGGGTAATCTAATTATCACAGCCAGAGAAATACAGTTTCATAAAACACATGACAGGGACCCCAAAACATGCAATAACCCCATAAAAGTATATCCTTGGAACTGGGGGATCTGGATGAACCACATATCCAAAATTCACCCAGATCCGTTCAGTACTTTGGAAAATACAGTTCAATGCAGATTCTGCAGAACACATACAGGCTAAATAAAAAACAATCACTGAATAATGTGTCCCCTGCTGTATAGTCCAAAACCACCGCACGATGTCTCTGTGCAACAAATACTGGCGAGATGGCACCGTGTTGAAAAGTCCACACAGTATCTGTGAGTTAAAATGGCCGCCATCCATTGTTCTCACCATGTGCTTCTGATACAGAAAATGGTGGCCACCCAGTAACTCCACAGTATGTCCCCAGATGGTGGGCTAAGCTGCCGCTGGGGAGAGGGGGTAACAAGCTCCTCTCCCATACATACTTTCAGCCGCTGGGGAGAGGGGATAACAAGCTCCTCTCCCTGACACACTCTCTGCTGTTGAAGGGGAAGACCGACTGTCTCCCCTTTCACTAATTCGTCCTGTTGCTGGGGAGAGGTGATAACTGGTTCCTCTCCCTGGAACACTCTCTGCTGTTGGAGAGGGGGACCAACTGTCTCCCCTTTTAATATATTGTCCTGCTGCTGGGGAGCGAGACCGACTATCTCCGCTTCCTGCAGGACACACTGCCGCTGGGGAGGAAGGACGGCACCTTTAGCTCCCTGGGGTACACACTGCCGCTGGGGAGGAAGGACGGCACCTTCTGCTCCCTGGGGTACACACTGCCGCTGGGGAGGAAAGACGACACCTTCAGCTCCCTGGGATACACACTGCCGCTGGGGAGGAAGGACGGCACCTTTGGCTCCCTGGGACTCACACTGCCGCTGGGGAGGAAGGACGACACCTTCAGCTCCTTGGGGTACACACTGCTGCTGGGGAGGAAGGACGGCACCTTCAGCTCCCTCACACACTGCCGCTGGGGAGGAAGTGGACAGCACCTTCTGCCCTGTGGGGTACACACTGCCATTGGGGAGGAAGGACGACACCTTCAGCCCCTGATACACACTGCCACTGGGGAGGAAGACGGCACCTTCAGCTCCCTGGGGGACACACTGCCGCTGGGGAGGAAGGACGACACCTTCAGCTCCCTGGGATACACACTGCCGCTGGGGAGGAAGGACGGCACCTTCAGCTCCCTGGGACACACACTGCCGCTGGGGAGGAAGGATGACACCTTTCGCTCCCTGGGACTCACACTGCCGCTGGGGAGGAAGGACAACACTTTCAGCTCCCTGGGGTACACACTGCCGCTGGGGAGGAAGGACAGCACCTTCTGCTCCCTGGGGTACACACTGCCGCTGGGGAGGAAGGATGACACCTTCAGCTCCCTGGGATACACACTGCCGCTGGGGAGGAAGGACGACACCTTTGGCTCCCTGGGACTCACACTGCCGCTGGGGAGGAAGGACAACACCTTCTGCTCCCTGGGGTACACACTGCCGCTGGGGAGGAAGGACGACACCTTTGGCTCCCTGGGACTCCTTTTTGGCCAAATCTACTAGAGATTGCAGGTATTCTCCTACTAGTTTCCTGGCGAGCTGCACGGCTCTCTCTGGGGGTTGGGTCCAAAGGTAGACAGCACCTCATTAACCTCTCTGTCAAACTCCTCCTGAGTGTAGTCATACGCCATGCTTGCTCTGCTGAAGTTAGTTCTTTTGTAGATAGGGTCGCTGTACGGGTACTAGCGTTGCCCTCAATTTGTAAATCCACGAACTGTGTCTCCGAGCTGCTTTACCTCGCACTAGGACGCCATCCCACCGCTTGCCACCAATGTAACGGATCACCTGGCACCCCGACTGGGTACCTCCGTTGAAAGATGCTCCTAGCGCTTCCTGAGGACTCCAAGCACTCTGGCAGACACCACAATCACCGAACCGGAGAAACAAATAAATTCTCCCAAGCATATGAATGCTGTAGACAGTTGAATAGGAACCATACGAATAGGTTTACTCTCCTAGCAGTCAAACTGGAACAGCATACAATAAATCCTTCCCCCAATAATGAGACGACACTTCACTTTGAGGGTTAAAACAGGAACTCCCTGTACTGTCACATACAGTCTCTTTTATTCCCAATCCACAAACATAGTACAGCCCACAGGGCGTTACAAAACAGCCAATCAATCCATACAATACACCCAGACACTCCCACACAAAATCCTCCCCTCTGGCTGTGATATGATTACTGAACACAATGGGTAATCTAATTATCACAGCCAGAGAAATACAGTTTCATAAAACACATCACAGGGACCCCAAAACATGCAATAACCCCATAAAAGTATATCCTTGGAACTGGGGGATCTGGATGAACCACATATCCAAAATTCACCCAGATCCGTTCAGTACTTTGGAAAATACAGTTTAATGCAGATTCTGCAGAACACATACAGGCTAAATAAAAAACAATCACTGAATAATGTGTCCCCTGCTGTATAGTCCACAACCACCGCACGATGTCTCTGTGCAACAAATACTGGCGAGATGGCACCGTGTTGAAAAGTCCACACAGTGTCTGTGAGTTAAAATGGCCACCATCCATTGTTCTCACCATGTGCTTCTGATACAGGAAATGGTGGCCACCCAGTAACTCCAGAGTATGTCCCCAGATGGTTCTTAAAAGGGCCAGCAGCAGCACAACACAAATCCATTATGCCCAAATCATGTCTTTAAAGGGCAATACATCCCAGGGGCCATAGTCACATGGCAGGAGGCTGGCAACCAGGCTTGTCCAGTGCATATTGGCGAGGTTGGTTCCGCCACATCCTTTAATGCCTGCGTGTAAGTATTTGTTTGGCAGACACTGTTGGCAGGCACTGTGGCAAAATACATCGAAAGAATACATGGAGAAAAAACTGAAATCCAGCTTGCACTCTCCCATTGTTCACTTGGGAGAGCATACACTTGTGGAGCCCGGCGGTCGGGTGAGTTCCCGATCCGCCGAGCGAGCAGGGAAGGCGGCTGTCGGGTATCTCGCGAGCCGCCAGATCCAAGATGGCCACCGCCCACATGTGAAGGTGTGCCGCGGATCGCGGTCGCGCGGTGCAAAACAAAGAGGATAAATGCAACACAAACGCTGACCCCAGCCTCCCTCCACCCGTCCCCATACAGTCCCCTGTGTAAGTGAAGGGCCGGTCCGCGAGGCGAGCGCGACACGGGTAGTCGTTGCGCCCGCGGATACCAGGCAGTAAGGTGGAAATAAAAAGGGGGAAAAAACAGAGGGATACAGTGAAGGGACAGGAATAAGGGGGGCCAAGGTAGCAGGTGTTAGCAATAAATAGAGTAATATATAGTGTAATGACAATCAAAAACAGTGTAAATTAGGAATCTACCAGAGAGGTAAAATACTCTGACCTGATGTATGGCTGGAGCAGCAAAGAAAGAGGAAGTGATGTCATAGACAGGGCCTTTTATGGGCATCATAACTTTTTTCTGATTGGTTGTTATGTTTCTATGCTGCTGGAGTTTTCAGTAAAGAAAGATATGCAAATATGAAGCCTCCTGTCATGGGGTAAAATTCTTTTTCATACAGGCAATATAGTCCTTTTCTCTGCACTGTTTATTTTATTTTTATTTTTTTCGTGGTTTATGTATTTATGTATTTAAAAAAAAAAAATGTATTAATGCATTTCGTGATTACATCTGGAAATATACAATAATCTGTGAGTCAATCATATCTAAATACATTTCACAGTGTATGACATGGTATGATTGAAAGATGTATGTACATGGCAAGAGGTTATCAAATCCAGTGAGACAGTTTTACA